GTGGGGACGATCTTGAACATGTTCGCAGACTGCAGACTTCCCGGAGCGTCGGTGCTTCACGTCAGCTATATGTTCTTTCACGCGGGTTTTTATGGATCTTTTTGTTTGACCTATGTAAGAGAGACCACATTCACAATCTAACTTGTACACTCCTGCATCTTGTAGAGGGATATTACACTTGACGGATGGTAAAAATTGACTAATCTTCTTCGGCGGCTTATAGTATGTTTTAATAGAAGCTCGCTTCAAGATGTAGCCAACCTTGTCTGTGACTCCTCTGACATATGGTAGTACAGCAGGTACACGCTCGACTGTGGCTGGCTTCACTCGGTTACTGTGACGTAGGCGCGGGACCCGAAGCTTGTTGTCTTGCAATACTTGCTTGATATGCTGAAGTTCGGCGGCCAGATGTTTTCTGTCACAGATCGCTCGTGCTCTCTGAAACAAAGATTTACCCACGGTAGCTAACTTTGAAGGATGATGGTGAGATTCACCATTTAAATATCGGTTGGTATGGGTCTTTTTTCTATACACAGTGTGACCAATTGTGTTATTAGGATTTCGAATGACTAAAACATCTAAGAAAGCTAAAGAATTATTTGCCTCTAACTCCATTGTGAATTGTATTTTAGAGTTTATAGAGTTAAGGTGGTTTAAAAATGCAATTACTTTGTCAGATGGTAAAATTGTGAAAGTGTCGTCTACGTACCGCTTGTAGAATCTTGGATTTACAGGAGCAGTAAGAAGGGCTTTCCCCTCGAAGTCCTCCATGAATATGTCAGCGACTATGGGAGATACAGGTGAGCCCATCGCCACACCATCTACTTGCTTGTAGAACTCCTCCTTCCACAATAGATAGCCAGATGTGAGGCAGTGTTTGAGTAATACTGCATATTCAGCAGGCATATTATTATATTCTAGCTTCCTAGTTACAATTGATATGCAGTCTTCAATAGGTAGGCATGTGAATAGTGACTGAACATCAAAACTGACCATAGTTTCATTGTCAGCGAGATGTAGGTCTTTTATCTCACTAACAAAATGGTATGAATCCTTTGTGTGTGCTCTGGTATGTCCTCTCAGTGGTGACAGTACTTTTGCCAAGTGTTGTGCCAGCTTATAAGTTGGTGAATCAATCTGGCTCACTATAGGACGTAGTGGAGCGTTTGGTTTGTGTATCTTTGGTAACCCATACAACCTCGGTGGTTTGGTACATGATGGTATTAGCGAATTCACGTCGAGATTTAATTTTTCGGAGTGTTTCTTTATTAAATCGCTAGTTGCTTTAAGCGTGTTAGTTGTGGGGTCTGTTTTGACCTTTTTGTATGTACTTTCGTCCGATAAAAGCTGTAGTATTTTAAAATTATACTCTGACGTGTCCATTATTACCGTAGCATTTCCTTTATCCGCGCGGAGAATCGTTAGATCTGGTCTGTTCCGTAAGTTAATCAACGCTGTAAATTCGTCTTTAGGAAGGTCTGGTTTCGGTACTGAACTACGACGTAACAAGGACGAAATATCTTGACGTATAGCCTCCAAATCTTCCTTACCAATATTATTTTTAAACAGACAATCCTCAACGCTGCAGATAATTTCTTCGTACGGGATTTTTCGCGGTGTTGATGCGAAATTCATTCCCTTTGCTAACACCTCTTCAAGAAATTTAAAGATGTTATATATCATGCGCGCTTGGTTTTAAGATCTTCTAATCGGCGAATTTTATTTGCTATTACCAGTCCGTACTGGTTCACATAATGATTTCTTAAATTTACGCGAACACTACACATTGAATAAAACTAAATTTACGGATTTTATCGCGTTTATTTAACTACTTTTACTTATTTTTAATTCCCGACGTTTCGGGTGCTTTACAGCAACCATGGTCACGGGGGGACTGAGATGTTTGACGTCCCAATGTCATGTCATGACATTGGGACGTCAAACATCTCAGTCATCAAACAGACGTCAAACATCTCAGTCATGTCATGTCATGACATTGGGACGTCAAACATCTCAGTCCCCCCCGTGACCATGGTTGCTGTAAAGCACCCGAAACGTCGGGAATTAAAAATAAGTAAAAGTAGTTAAATAAACGCGATAAAATCCGTAAATTTAGTTTTATTCAATGTGTAGTGCTCGCGTAAATTTAAGAAATCATTATGTGAACCAGTACGGACTGGTAATAGCAAATAAAATTCGCCGATTAGAAGATCTTAAAACCAAGCGCGCGAGATATATAACATCTTTAAATTTCTTGAAGAGATGCAGAGACCATAATCTCATTCCTACGTGTGTCAAAATATCAACAAAGAAGGACATTCGAGGAAGCGCTAAGATCTTAAATCAGGCAAGTAAAAAGTTGTTACGGACGGTGATTCAGCAGAAACGGTTCGATTTACATTTCATAAACACACACCATAGACAATTTGTTCAGTGAACTAAAGACAGTTTTAACGACATTTGATTTTAATAATTGCATCGAAACTTTAAACAAACGAGAAACAGCAAAATACAATGAATGCAAAAATAAACAAATAGAAAAATACCAAAAATTAACGATCAAATCAAATGCCAACCATCTAAGTCAACGTCAGAACGAAACACAACCGTTGACCACAGACGCAAACAATAAACAACGCACGGTCTATAATCTGTCAAAACATACACTGGACGAACCAACAATAAAGGTGTTAGCAAAGGGAATGAATTTCGCATTAACACCGCGAAAAATCCCGTACGAAGAAATTATCTGCAGCGTTGAGGATTGTCTGTTTAAAAATAATATTGGTAAGGAAGATTTGGAGGCTATACGTCAAGATATTTCGTCCTTGTTACGTCGTAGTTCAGTACCGAAACCAGACCTTCCTAAAGACGAATTTACAACGTTGATTAACTTACGGAACAGACCAGATCTAACGATTCTCCGCGCGGATAAAGGAAATGCTACGGTAATAATGGACACGTCAGAGTATAATTTTAAAATACTACAGCTTTTATCGGACGAAAGTACATACAAAAAGGTCAAAACAGACCTCACAACTAACCCGCTTAAAGCAACTAGCGATTTAATAAAGAAACACTCCGAAAAATTAAATCTCGACGTGAATTCGCTAATACCATCATGTACCAAACCACCGAGGTTGTATGGGTTACCAAAGATACACAAACCAAACGCTCCACTACGTCCTATAGTGAGCCAGATTGATTCACCAACTTATAAGCTGGCACAACACTTGGCAAAAGTACTGTCACCACTGAGAGGACATACCAGAGCACACACAAAGGATTCATACCATTTTGTTAGTGAGATAAAAGACCTACATCTCGCTGACAATGAAACTATGGTCAGTTTTGATGTTCAGTCACTATTCACATGCCTACCTATTGAAGACTGCATATCAATTGTAACTAGGAAGCTAGAATATAATAACATGCCTGCTGAATATGCAGTATTACTCAAACACTGCCTCACATCTGGCTATCTATTGTGGAAGGAGGAGTTCTACAACCAAGTAGATGGTGTGGCGATGGGCTCACCTGTATCTCCCATAGTCGCTGACATATTCATGGAGAACTTCGAGGAGAAAGCCCTTCTTACTGCTCCTGTAAATCCAAGATTCTACAAGCGGTACGTAGACGACACTTTCACAATTTTACCATCTGACAAAGTAATTGCATTTTTAAACCACCTTAACTCTATAAACTCTAAAATACAATTCACAATGGAGTTAGAGGCAAATAATTCTTTAGCTTTCTTAGATGTTTTAGTCATTCGAAATCCTAATAACACAATTGGTCACACTGTGTATAGAAAAAAGACCCATACCAACCGATATTTAAATGGTGAATCTCACCATCATCCTTCACAGTTAGTTACCATGAGTAAATCTTTGTTTCAGAGAGCACGAGCGATCTGTGACAGAAAACATCTGGCCGCCGAACTTCAGCATGTCAAGCAAGTATTGCAAGACAACAAGCTTCGGGTCCCGCGCCTACGTCACAGTGACCGAGTGAAGCCAGCCACAGTCGAGCGTGTACCTGCTGTACTACCATATGTCAGAGGAGTCACAGACAAGGTTGGCTACATCTTGAAGCGAGCTTCTATTAAAACATACTACAAGCCGCCGAAGAAGATTAGTCAATTTTTACCATCCGTCAAGTGTAATATCCCTCTACAAGATGCAGGAGTGTACAAGTTAGATTGTGAATGTGGTCTCTCTTACATAGGTCAAACAAAAAGATCCATAAAAACCCGCGTGAAAGAACATATAGCTGACGTGAAGCACCGACGCTCCGGGAAGTCTGCAGTCTGCGAACATGTTCAAGATCGTCCCCACCATTACATTCGTTTTGATAAACCACAAATTCTCGCAAAAGAACACCGATTCCTACCAAGGATGATACGCGAGGCTATTGAAATTAAAAAAACATCCAAATTTCAATAGAGAAGATGGATGGGTGCTGCCACCTGCTTGGGATCCTATAATTAACAAAATTAAACCCAAACCTAAGCATACCACTGCAAAACTTTATGATACTATAAGCTCGTTTTGCGTAAATCGGACCACAAATTAATATTCAAAAAAACTGAAGGTAGCCGGACTAACTATGACATTGGGACGTCAAACATCTCAGTCCCCCCCGTGACCATGGTTGCTGTAAAGCACCCGAAACGTCGGGAATTAAAAATAAGTAAAAGTAGTTAAATAAACGCGATAAAATCCATAAATTTAGTTTTATTCAAGGTCAACGATTTGTTTTCATTACGCCCGCATAATTCTCAACATCGCGATTTAGGTAAACAAGTTAATTTGTACAGCGGCATGTATCGACCAACAATGATTTTACATGTGTCAGTAACACATTTTACATTTTAACATATGGTAGTGTTTATAACGCCATCTTTCGACTTAATCCAAGACTATTGACATTTAAATGATGGCTCTAGACGTATAATACGCTACTTGGTGTGAGTGTTGTGAGGGTGGGTATATACGTACATGCAGGCAGCGCGGCGGCCCAAGTGCGGCGTGCTGTCGTTTGTGCCGGAGCTGGAGCAGATGGCGGCGGAGTGCGAGGCGATCTTCGCGCGCGGCGGCCGGCGCGCAGACCTCGAGCGCTGGTACCTGGCGCTGGGCACCGCCATGCTGCGCGCCATCCAGCGCGCCGAGCACCCGCGCACCCCGCGCGCCGTCGTGCACATGGGTGCGTGCATCCTTATATATTTTGACGTACATAAGTTATTTGATCAAGCCTCCGTTGAATTTATTCACTGTTAGTAGATTCAAGGCGGTTTAGTCGTAGTATTATCTATTTTATTTATTTATTGGCTTAGCATAAAAATTCACACAGTTACAGTCTGTCAAACTGCTCAGCAGTTTGTTGGCAGAAAAAATGCGCATATAATTAGAAGAACCGATAACCGACGAGGAAAAAAGGTTCTCGAGTGGCAGCCTCGTACCGGCAGGCGAATTGTAGGATGTCCCCCCACTAGATGGAGTGTCGACCTGGTAAGACATGCAGGAAGTTGATGGATGCAGGTGGATCAGGATCGCGTTTTTTGGCATTCCTTTGTGGCGAATGCCGCGCGCGCAACGCGGAGGGTAGATGTAGATGTTTATAAGCACAGGCACAGCATCCACTGAGCATCGCTCTGGGCGGACTGTGTGCGGTGTGTCACCGTTGTGTTGTTGGTCTGTGCGCAGAGAACTACCACCGGCTGCACGGCGCGGTGAGCTCGCTGCGCGCGCCGGCGCTTGACGCACTGCGGCGCGAATGCCGCGCGCGCTACGCGGAGGCGCTGCGCGCCTACGTCACGCAGTACTTCGGCCGCCCGCTGGACAAGTTGGCCCAGTTTTTCGAGGTGAGCACACAGCGTTGCACTCTTCTTATTCCTCCTCATCAACTGCTCTATCCTATATGATCACAGCAAGACTATTTAGACCAATATATTACACTGTGTTATATTAAATCTGATAATATATCTTATAATATCGGTGTAATATAACACAGGCTCGTTACGTACTTTATGAAGTAATGAAACTCATCCTCTCTCCCTCAAGACTCTCGTGTAACTGACGCAGTGCGCTCGAGACAGTAGATTGTATGTGCGTGTATGTTAACAGTGGCGAAGCTAGAGCTCTAAACTAGGGCAAGCCCAAGATATAAATTGATAACAATATAGATTGTTGTTTTTAGCATTTTTATAAAAGTACACCAATCTTGATCTGTCTCCACGCTTCAGTTTCATATTCAGTGCTGTCAAGGACGTGTTTAACAAAGCACACAGAGGGCATACTACTGCTAGATAGATTGTATTACATATCAGCAATTGCATAGCTTCGATGGCTTTGAAGAAAGCCGTTTGGGTTTGTTTGAGCGAAAGAAAAAGATATTTACGTACAATGCAATACATGAACAAAAGTAAAACATGAACGAAGTACAAACAATGTACAAAAAAAAAATTATTTACATTCTAAATGGAATCGTCTCTCTTTCTTAAGGAAAGATTTAATTAGATCTACGTAAATGTTGGTGAACGTTTTAATTGTACCAATAACTGTTTTTTAATTGCGATAATTGATAAGTTTGAAGTATACTCTTGGCCTTGTGTATTATCTCAACAAAGTTTAAAGATTTTACCTTTTCCTCTCCGATTAGCGCTTTGGCACACTTCAATTCATCACAAGGAACACTATTATCATCCATTTCACTAAAAATCTTTAAAAAAGCATAAATTTTCAACTCGCAATATTAAATCGCTTAAGCTAAATACACAGAGTAAATAAACATTGAAATGTGAAATGAACTTGCAAACATATTGTCCGCGCGCCTCCGCTTTTGACAACTTTATTCCTAAAGCCTGGATTTAAATCTCTATACTAATTGCTATATATACAATCGTGGTTATATTTCATTATAGAATATTTTGCCATAGGTTAGAAAGAGAGCGATCGTCTTTTCGAAGGCCCCGTAAAAAGCCCACGCGAGTGAGAGAGACAACTAATCGCTCCATTAAAACTCATTTTTTATGACAGCAGCAGTCGCTAAGGCAATACGAGGTCATCGGTCGACATGTGTCGAACAGTGGAGTGAGCTACCTAGCGGGCGTATTTGTCAAAAATTCTTATCAGCGCGTTATGCCCTACTACGGCCTAGTCAGCAAGCGACCCAATGCTTGAGAGGCGGGGGTATCCAACCAGTTCGGTCTTGTCGTTCCGCGTAAACGGTTTTTCAATTTTTGATGAATAATGATTTTTGGTGATATTTCACTCACACACAAACACATCAAATGTTGACACGGACATTCCAATGTACTCAAAAAAAATTTCTAGGCTACAATCTCAATTCTTCATAGAAAGTAAAAAATTCACCAATTTTTTCTCTGTTTTAGTTTATTACGTCCACACCTTCTCTTATGTTCAACATCACCCATCTCAGGACGGACTCGGACTTTGTAAACATTAAAATGTGACGTAAACTTGCAAACATATCGTCGGCGTCGCCCGCGCGCCCCCGCTCTCGACTAACTTTATACCTAACGTGACCATACGTCCCACTTTAGGCGGGACGTTCCCTATTTAAAGTTTTGTGTCGCGCTGTACCAAAAATTCTTAAAAATTTCCCGCTTTGACAAACAAAAGCGTGGCAATTATCCAAACTCAGTCACCCGTGCCATCATTTGACACCGCGCGTATCAGGTTTGCCAGCATGGCTTGACTAGTTACGTGATTATTCTGAAAAGCTACACTTTTGAATTTAAAGTTACGAAGTGACAATTTTTAATTATATTTAAATAAATTATCAAAAAAAGTTATTTCCAATTAGTATTTATTTAATGTTCAGAATTCACTTTTGATCATTAAAAGATTCAAACAACTATGTGTTTTATTTATAAAACTATATTAAGGGGCTCCAGTTTGTATTTTGGTAACAGCGGCCATTCTCAACGGAAAATAGCTGTGTGAAAAATCTGCGCATCTTGATTATATTGCCCTAGTGTAATACTACTGCTACTGAGAATTTTGTGATAGAAAAACTCAATAAATGATTCTTGACTGGTTTGTTGGGACACGTGATCAGCAATTTCGTTTACAACCATTAAGGCAGTCAAAAGTGTTAAAACTATAATAATTTTAAAGGCGTCTCGCTCTGAGGAAAATATTAGTGCTCACTAAAAAGCCGGGGTTTTTATCTCTATACTAATTGCTATTTATACAATCCTAGTTATATTTCACTATAGAACATTTTGCCACAGGTTACAAAGGGAGCGATCGTCTTCTCGAAAGCCCGGTAAAAAGCCCACGCGTGCGAGAGAGACAACCAATCGCCCAATTCAATTCTCCTTATATGTATGACAGCAGTATCCCTAAGGCTACGAGATCATGACCTGTGTCGAATAGAGTGCGCGGGAAATTTGAAATAACTTGAAACAGTTTACGGGTTATTTTATTACTTGATATTATTGATTGATTCAGCTTTATAAGGCAAGCCGGGCTTCTGGGCTTCTATGAAGGCTTCGCCACTGGAACTGATGTATCGTACTGCTCGGACATAAAATTAAATGATTTTTGGATCTCTTTGTTTAGCTCAATTAGTGTAGAAATAGAAGAGTTTATTACATCAAATTTAGTAATCTTGATATAAGCGTAATTCATTAAACATTTTTTCAATTGACAAATCTGAAGTTACCGGCGTTTTAATGAGCCTACGTGTTTGGTCTTGGTATACCACACACCTTTTACTTGATCTGATGATGAATGATTTAAACACGATCTTGAGAAAAACAATGATTTATTGCGATTTCACAATAGAAACTTAATTGAGGCATGCGACCGTATTGGTAGGCAAACACAAACATACTCAAAAATAAAATATTAATGAATGAGGTCAGTCGCGCATAGTGTCAAATTACTAAAACGCTGACGCGGGAGAATGCACGGTGTTGCACCGTACATGCTCCGGGCCGCCAGATGAGGGCGGCATGCTGATCATGATTGCTTGAAAAAAGATGTATGAGTTGCTATGGGCGACGTAGACCTGTTTACAATTCGAACACTGTCTAGTCTATTGGTAACAGGATCACTACGATTGGTCGTTTCTTCTTCACAAATGCTGTTTCGGACGGAGGAGAGGCGAACCGCGGTGCGGTCCTCCGCCGGGGGCACTGCCGGAGAGTTGGCTCTTGCTAACCGTGTTTGTCGCATTCGCCGCCACGCCAGGCCAGCACCCACGATAATTGCTGCTCCGATCATAATGTAGATGAGAGCATAATGATGCACATCATGGTATGATACATCACTTGTCAACACCGCCTGCTCTTTCAAATCTTTTAGCTGTTTTTCTAAATCCGAAAATTGTTTTTGGCGGTCATTTATGGTTTCATCTACTATAGACGACATCGGGATCGATGCGTTGATGATATTGTTTATCGGACTGAAGTCTTCAACCTTGATGTCTGGGCTCGTCTTGATAACGCTGCGGTCAAGGTTACGAGCGTGCACCGTAAATAGGTCGGACTTGACAATGCACCCGTGTGAAATGCTGACGATGCCGGCGCGCTCCAGCTGTGGCGCGGTCACCTGATCCGCGCACATCACTCGTAACTGACACCTCTCACAACAAAAGTATAAGTATTTGTTTATATTGTTTAATTCAGTCCATTTGTAATTGCAGGAATCCACTACAGTTTTACACTGCTGTTTAATATTATCGAAGTCACAGAATTTCTCGTCTTGTAGGAGATGGTAAACTGGTTTCTTTAAGTGACATAAATACGAGTTAGCTTGCTGACTGCATGATGAAATTTCATCTATATCCATCACAATGTACGCATCCTTTGCTAGGTTAATGGCCACGTATTCCGATATTGGTATCGTGGTAACCATCTTGCTGTTATTAATCTTGGTCGGTACTGGAATAAGATGAAATATTTCGAAGGAATCTCTACTGATGAGCGGAACCTTTATCTCGAACATCAGGTAATCTTCACATATTCTGGCCTTTATTGTTAAAAGTTGAACTCCTTCTATATTTGGCTTGCTATGACACCAAGTTCATTTCTAAGCTGTTCTGGAGATAATAGTTGGAAATTAAATCTCCCGTGATAAATATGTGTGATCGTGTCTAGCAATGATTCTTGCGCGCTTCGTAGTTCCTGTATCATATTGCTTGCAGCTACGGCTGCCAAAGTTAATTGATTCACTTGAGACATGTTGACAACCTCTGAGTTTAATATGTTCACGCCCCTTTCTATATGTAGCATCTGCCTGTTCATAGCTTCTTCACTCCTTTTAAGTAAGTTATACTTCGCCTCGACTATAGAGGTTTGATTTCGCCACAAGTTTGCCAGATGCTGCTGATTATCACGGATGAGCGTTATGTCTTTTTGGTATTTTTGAGCAAAATTCTCGTCTAAAATTCCAAATAATGAGTTCAAGATACTGCCGACTCCGTTTTTTTTTTTTTTTTTTTTTTAATTTATTAAGATTTACCAATGTTTGATTACACTGTATTTAACAAAATGGCTTAAGAACTAATTTACGTAGCTAAGTGTAACAATCGTTTAAGGTAAACACCACATGCATCGAGAAAGATTATAAATACGAATAAAAAAGTATAAATTACCTAATAATGAAAAAAGTACGTGGTAAGAACTGTTATTATTTATTTGTTGGTTTCAGACCAGGCTAAAGCTAGAACTTCCTTAATTTTGGCAAGTGAGTCGGCGTGAATGTCAACTTTGTCACTATGTCCATTGACCAATTTGCACAACCTTGGAATTGGGGAGTTTGCACCTAAGACAGATTTTCTAAAAAGGAGGGCAAAGTGGAGTAATAGGGGCGCGAGGAATCCTCAATGGAA